CACTGCTGCGCTGACGCCAAATTTAGTTTACACCGTCACAGGATCCGAGGCGATCGCGGTTGAGTACGTCTCCGCCCCGGCTTCGATAAAATCAATCCTGAGCGATGTGAATCTCGCGATGCCGCCGCCGTACAGCCTTCCGCCGCCCTATATCCGAACCACTGGAGAGGCATCGGTGGTGATCGTACCGCCACCACCACCACCACCTCCTCCTCCTCCCCCTCGATCCTATCATGAGGTCTAGAACGTGATTGGGGAGTGTGAATTGTGTAAGGTCGTGAAGCTAGTTCCTTTTATTCAGGTTGTTTTCAGTACCTTTTGGCATGTTTTTCTACAAAAAAGGTTAACTGGCGATTCTATATATATATAAATATATATATATATTTATATATATTTTTAAAATTGGTTATTTGAAGTGCTAAACCTAACCAGTTAAAAGGAGTGCATTATCTAAAAACAGAGATGAAAATAACTTCAAAAGGAAAGAAATACAGACAACAATTACTCACACGAATTTTAAGAAAAATATATTTCTAACTAAGAAGTGTCTCTACAAACAAATATATTTGAAAATAAAAAAAATTGATGCAAGAAAAGAGAAAAACATACCGTGCATTTTTTGAGGTATCTTGTACAGTTTTTTTTTTTTTGAAGGAGAATGGAAAGGAAAGATGCCTTCCTATATTAATTAAGCTCTAGTTTTAACAAGTTTATGAATATGCATTACATATTAGTGGTATCATCAAAATTTCTTTTTTTGTCTAATATAATTGCGTATCCTTTACTTTTAGAATACTTCACATAAATTTATAAATAACTTATACATCAAAAGATTCCCACTTTTTTAAAAAATACAATTTATATTCACCATAATAAAATCAGATACAGAGATAAATGCAGTGCCCCATGACTTCATCCGAGACGGGAATAACTCAAAAGGTTATAGTTATGCGGCATGGTGAGCGCCGGGATGCAAATTCCGACTCCGCATTTGAGCTGGATCCACCACTGACGGATTCTGGCAAAGCGGAAGTAGTACGTGTGGCTTCCCAACTTCGACCTATTTTGGGGGGTGAAGTAAACGCACAGGGAGTTTTTCTGTATGTTTCACCTTTCTTACGGACGGTGGAAACGGCCGCGGCGTTGCAGGATAACGGTATTGGAAGTGATCGTATGATGTTCGTCGACAACACCCTTTGTGAGGTGTTTGGCCCTACCCATATTAAATCTAGCAGTCCGCCTACGACTCTCGTAGAGGGCCATGACACGTTACCCGCGTGGGGAGAGTCCATAGAGGAGGCCTTACAACGCTTTGTGCACAGCTTTTTAAATAACGCCCGGAGGCATTATAGCAATCGCGCATCCCGATCCAACTTGGTTGATTTAAGATTGTCAAGCATCCGAAATGATGAGTTTGATCGAACTACGCTGCAGGAAGAAAAGCACCTTGCGGCGTTGATATCGGAAAAGCATCAAGAAATGAATGAGATCGACGACGGCCACCACAACGATTTCCAACCTCAAGCTGAAACGACGGCGGACACGCTTTGCCTCATTACCCACGGAGACGCTATTAGCTCCATCATCTCTCATTTTTATCCTTCGCGTGTGGTCTACCAGACCGATTTCCTCTCCTACGTGGTGATGGGAAGGTGCGGTGAGAGCAATACGTTTCGTTTGATCGACTCGGATGGTGTGCGTTGGATTGTGGATGGTGTCGATAAGGTGCCATCCTACCTGGAATCAGTCGCGAATTGCCCAAATCTGCCCATATTGGAGGGACACCAGAGGATCGCAGCCGTAGAAACGTACGAATATGCTCTTTCAAGCGGTCCAGATGCTGATTCTCCAAATATCTCAGAGGGAAAATTGGAGTTTAAGCAGACAGAGGCTTCATCGTGCGCGCAGCATTCTTCACCTTCCGTCCAATCAAATGACAAGGACTACGCACAGGAGGCGAAAGCGCTATCATCATTATTCCAAGACGTGAACTCGAAAGCTGCGCTGCGGTGCGCTTTTCTTCGATTTAATATTCATAATTCCACGGAGGTTAACAAGGTGGAGGAAGAAACGATACGCAGCGAAGATTTGCCGTGTGCCATGCCTTCTGTGTGCAGTTCATCGAATGCGCACTCCAAAATTCCTCTCCTTGGAATAGTTGGCAGTGCATCTATTTCAGATTATCCCCTTGTTAGAGCTAGATTTAGACTTATAACGTACAAAAAAAAGCTTTGCGTGAATTTCAGGCTGCAACTCCTTATGGTACTTCTTCAGGTCGGTGTCATCTTCCAGTGGAATCACGCTCAAAACGCGTTAATTTATCTATTTTGCGTTAATGTGGTAGAGGTGAGCCAAGCTGTATTACTCTTTTTATTTTCTCAACCACCCCTGACTGGTTCTTCATACGACGTGCCCGTGCCATTCCAACGAGCTGCTGTGGATGCTGCGTACCGAGCGTTAGCTTCCACAGAAGTGAAAAAGGAAAAAGCTACTGAAGTTCAAGTAAAGAGTTCTTCAATTTCAGGCCATGAGCTGGACGCTGGCCTTGAACAGCGTACGTCGCTCTTGCTGTCTTTACCTTCTATACGTGCAAATGATCTATCTAACGCAGATTTGCATGGTGGCAACAGTACAAACGAGAATCAAAATAACCAAGTGAGCCCTGACGGACATTTTTGTGCTTTCAAAGTCTTCTGGAAAGGTCTGGCAAAGCTCCCTATAAATCTACTCATGTGTCAATTTCTGGAAACGCTCTTAAAGATAAAAATGGTATTCTTCTTCTCGTTGGTGTTTGGATTTATTTTCGTATACCCGTTTACCATGTACTTGTCCTTAATCGAGATTTTTACCTACCCTTTATGCTCTATTCCTTTTCTGGTTTATTGCATGCTTGATATTCTACGGGGTCTATTATATAAGATGTGAGCTTCTTTTTTTTATGTATCAAGTTGCCAAAACCGAGAGCCATGGTGGCGATTTAAAGGATATGATGTAGATGTGAAGCAATGTTGTGTCTAAAACATGCATGCGCACAAAAAAGGATAAATATAGTGTGCAGTTGCCCTTTTTAAATCTCTCTTATGCCCACATACTTTCTTTCAACATTTTTACCTTTTATGCATATATTTGACAAAGTTATATTGGTCTACACCTGCCTTATAGGTTTTGTAATTAATGAAATTACCATATTTTTCTAAATCTGCTTATTCACATCTGCTTAACGATATCTAGGCACCAGTAAAATCAGAAAAGCCTTGCATTTGATAAGGAAAGTACATAACAGACAGCTGAGTATTATTTCTGTAAATTATGATTATCTTTACTCGGCCATATTGCAAATTTACTCCTCCCTCCTCTCCCCTCTCTTATTTACATACACACAAAAAAATCAGTTCTGTAATCTTCACGTCTTTTTTGAAAACTTTCGAGTAGACCAATTGATTCTTTTCAAATTTCCACATAGGAGATACTATGTGAGAAAAAAAGACCAAAAATTGTTCAGCCACGTAAGTGAAGATTTCCAGAGATACTGAAGCAATGAACATGTTTCTTTTTCATTTCTAACTTTATGATCTTTTTTTTTTAAGTTTATTCATATATATCACATAGATATATTAGTCGGTGTTTCAAGTTTAACCTATATAGCGTTGCATTTTGTTCCTCCTTATCGATAATTCAAGTTAATACAGCGTGTGGTGAACTTTAAAGAATATCTATCCCGTAATGCAAGCCCCCGAAGAATCCACTTTTTCGTCTTCTTTAGAAACCTTATGTGATGATGAAAAAACTACGTTTACGGCGCCGGTACCTCTAATTATTGATGAAGCTCACCACGAGATTAACCAGAAAATTTACCAATTGTCAACTGAGGCGGAGCCTTTCATTCCTTCGTTTATGCGAGGAGTAGGGACCTCTACATATCCTATAGAAGTGTATAATAAAGGACACGATGATAATACACAGCTTATGACCATTGATAGTAAGTGCGCGATCAGTTGTCATAATACCCCACCTTTGCATTTACAAAAAGATTCAAAACCTCAACCGAACCCAACGTTAGACCACGACTCCCCTCAAAATGCCAAAAAATCAAATTCCCATAAACTACAAGGACCTGGTTATTTTTCTACCGATCAAACTCGCAAGGAACATTTTGATTTATGGGTTAGTCAGCTTATAAACATGAGCGAAGATGAAGTTCACATGCTGATGGATTGTTTGCCCGAGGATATTCAACATTTGTACTTCCATAATCTTTCCCACTTTGTGGATACCAAACCACAAGGAGGGATTTCTTCCGAAGACAAACAGTCCTTCGGACCTAAAGGCTGTACATCAATGTCTCCGGCGGTTTCGGCTGCTTTTGCAACTTTTAACAAAATTAGCGAAGAACGACTACAGCATATTGAGCAATTGCTTTGTTTAGAAACCCTTAATGATTACGTCTGCGATACTGGAATGCGGGAGGAATCATTATTTGTCAACCCCGATGAGGGCTTAAACTCCGATGAGGAGGAATGGCTACTGGAGCAGATCATGAGTGTGGATTTGATTCCACCGGACTCTGAATTGACCAAGCCGGATCAAAATCAGTATGAGAAGAGGCATAAAAGTACATTTCGACCTGTTAATATTAAACCCCGAGGCCGCAATAAAAGGAAACAGACAAAGCGCCGAGGTGAGTTTTAGGCGATTCAAGTTATATACACCTAGATACAAGAACCTCACTAGATGACATTGACATTATTTTTGCTCAAATTCGTGTTCCAAAGACAAGCATATGTTGAAACGTTTTGATTTTGTGACTACTATTTGACAGATCTTTTCTTTATACAAATAGGAAAATAAATGAATAAATAAAGCATTGAGTACATTATAATCAAAGGTGCGTTTATATTCGCTCCATAGTACCATTCTATTTTCGTCATGCTTTAAGTGAATGAATTCTACTATAAGGTAAATTTCGAAAAGAAATATTGAATTACTTAGATATCCTTATATCTGAATCGTACTCAAATAGTCAGTACTTAAATGCGATATTTTCATTAACATTTTTGTGTTTCCGTTACACTAGTACTTTTTGCGCACTTTATGATGTTGGATATTTCACATAGGGTAAAAAAAGATGCACAAAATATTTTCTAACTAAAACATCAATGTAAAAATACGTCCAATATTTTGACCGAAAATGAAACGTTGACTACAATTTCTTTTTACTTACTTTGCGAATACCATTAAATTAGGAAAAGGACAAAATCCTTTTTTTTGCGGTACTTTGGCATTTTATGAAAACACAAAGGGTGTAAACTCCGCATTGCTTGAATTTCACGCCAATATTTGATAAAGCTTTTTCACCTGAGAGTTTTAATTACGAGCACCATACGTTCTCCATTCCTTTCCTTAAATAAAAAAGCAAACCAATACTAAGCCCTTTTTTTCATTCCTTTATCTTGACAGTTAAAAATTGATGATTAAACATCTATTATAAACAGATTAGAATATTTATAGTATTATTTTAACGTGTAAGTGAACGTTTACTCAAATCTTACAATATGACCCATCCTCTTCAGAACAAAATGCGCCCGTGGTGTCTGCGAGGCGAGGTTATTCATGGCCATGGCCGTGCCGTTCGTGATCTTGGATCACCTACCGCGAATGTCAAATTGGGTGAAGCGGCCCTTAAAAGCCTGAGCCCGTATGTTGAAACTGTGATGTTTGGGTGGGGTTGTATTGAGCCGGAAGTACCCAGTCAAGGTGAAGACATCAGCAACGCGAATCTGAAAAAAACTCAGATAAAGGATGCTCATCTTGGCCCCTTTCCTATCGCCCTGTCTGTCGCCACTAACTTATTTTACAACGACAATGAGCTTAGTGTTGAGGCTTACTTCTTACACGAGTTCCCTGAAGATTTCTACGGGCGAATTATTCGCATTATTGCGTTGGATATTGTACGTGTTCAAACTTCCTTTGACTCTCTTGAGGCGCTCATTAAAGCTATCGAAGGTGATATGATTAAAATAAGGGATGAAATAAAAAAGCCCGAATACGAAAAGTACAAAGAACACGAATTTATGAATCCACACACTCAGTTATCCCAGGAAGTTCTGGCGCAACTTCCTTATTTTAAGGAGATCTAATCTTTATTTATTTACTTATGAAATTTAATTTAGCAAAAACTTAGTTTTTTCTCTTGCAGTGAATTTAGGCGGTAAAGCCATAAAAAAATATATTATATGAAATATGATTTTTAAACAGTACCTTAACTGAGATATAGTGTTTTCTGTTTCTATCCCGGTTTTGCTCCGGTTTACTGATGTCTAATATTTTGATCTTGATTTTGCCTGCTTGCCGTTTTTTAGCTGTGCCCCTTTGATTACTTGTGTGCATGGATACTTATCTTCATGTTTATAATATTTTGGATGTCTTTTTAAACACTTTTTTTTCCCCATAAAATAGACTACATATTTTCTTGTATATCGGTGGCGAGCCCTTTTTGCTTCTGCACCTTTAAGGAGGCCAAAGATGTTTCGCAGTATGGGCGAGTTCACTGACTACGCAAAGGCGTTATTTGCGGTTTTCTCTTCCCCCTCTGTACCTAGCAACGCACCTGACAAGATGACTTGCACGAGCGCTGCTGCTCCTGCTTCGCAGCGTTACCTGGAAAAAAAGGCCTGCATGGAATCCTTCTACGTTCTTTTTGGCTACGAGCCTACCCCTTCTTTGTTTTCTGGGCTTTTCACACATGAGGACATCGCTCCCACCACAGCCGAATTAAATGGCCGAATAATAGGTGGTATTGATGAGCGCACATTTCTGACATTCATGCAGACTTGTGCCGAGCATGAGGAAGGGCTTTTAATGGGGAATTTGAACAGTACCATCACGTGCAGTGGGAAGGTATCCCCCTCTGTGAGTGTAGCCTCTGCTTGGAAGTGTTTTAAAGCACTCGCAGCTGACAAGGACTACATAACGTTAGATGATTTCATTCTAGCGGATCGGGAGGATCCTTTTAGTGGCGTTGGAATAGGCATAAACCAACAGCTCCTTGAACAGGATGCTGAACGTGATGCCGATAATTCCATGTTAGCACCTTTTCACGCCACCCTGCGCGGTCGTCGACACGCTCTTCTTTCGCATGTGTTCACAATATTGGATACTAATGGTGATGGTAGAATCCCGTTTGCCGACTTCAAAGATGCGCTCATTTCGTTGCATGCGGTGTGAACTTTTTCTCACTAGCTCTGTACATTCTTATTTATGGCTCGTCATGTTGTTAAATGAAATCTAAGAGAATTCTTGGACATTTCGCAGTGTGTAACAACAACCAAAAAAGTTTCATACGAACCTTTTCTCTTATGTTTTCCATACCCCCATTGTTGTTATGTTTTTGAGCACTCATGCCAAGCTGTGTATTATTGTAACAATCGTCATCTCTATTAATACATATTAAGGTTTCAGGTGAACGTTTACTCAAATCTTACAATATGACCCATCCTCTTCAGAACAAAATGCGCCCGTGGTGTCTGCGAGGCGAGGTTATTCATGGCCATGGCCGTGCCGCTCGCGACCTTGGATTCCCCACAGCGAATGTCAAATTGGGCGAAGCGGCCCTTAAAAGCCTGAGCCCGTATGTTGAAGGTGCGATATTTGGGTGGGGTTATATCGAGCCGGAAGTACCCAGTCAAGGTGAAGACATCAGCAACGCGAATCTGAAAAAAACTCAGATAAAGGATGCTCATCTTGGCCCCTTTCCTATCGCCCTGTCTGTCGCCACTAACTTATTTTACAACGACAATAAGCTTAGTGTTGAGGCTCACTTCTTACACGAGTTCCCTGAAGATTTCTACGGGCGAATTATTCGCATTATCGCGTTGGATATTTTACGTGTTCAAACTTCCTTTGACTCGATCAATGGGCTCATTAAAGCTATCGAAGGTGATATAAAACAAATCAAGGCTAAATCGAAAAAGCCCGAATACGAAAAGTACAAAGAACACGAATTTATGAATCCACACACTCAGTTATCCCAGGAAGTTCTGGCGCAACTTCCTTATTTTAAGGAGATCTAATCTTTATTTATTTACTTATGAAATTTAATTTAGCAAAAACTTAGTTTTTTCTCTTGGAGTGAATTTAGGCGGTAAAGCCATAAAAAAATATATATTATATGAAATATGATTTTTAAACATAGTACTTTAACTGAGATATAGTGTTTTCTGTTTCTATCCCGGTTTTGCTCCGGTTTACTGATGAATTGTCTTTTAGGTTTTTATTTCTCTTGAGGTTTAATTTATTATTATTATTTATTCCCTTATTATTCCCTTGCATAATGGTATCTTAAGGTAGTTTTTTTTTTTTT